TAAAAGGCTTCCCTGGCCAGAAGTTGCTAGATTAGGGAAATAGTGTATTCTGGTTGAAATCCAGGCATTCTCTGAGAACTCTCTAGGCTCCTTTAAATCTGGTAAAATCTGTCATAGTTTGGTATGATTCACTCAGTGGATGTTCTCTGAGCTCCTGCTCTGTGCCAGGCCCTTTGCCCTAGACAAGGACATGGGCATTTTTAGGAGGAAAGTCTGATTTCAGTGAGATCTGGGTGACCCAGCCATCCACAAGGGTGATTGGCACCCAGCTCACCCAGCAGCCCCACCTCACCTGTCTCAGGGCCACTTTCTGTGACAGAAGGGTGGCCACTGGAAACATCAGTTTTCTTAACATAAAACATTTTTTCATTGACAAAAATTGTATGTACTGATTCTGTACATGCTTTGAATTATGCCTTCTGTACTAGCTAAACAAGCTAATTAACATCATCTCTCATTTTTGTGTGTGGTGAGAACATTTAAATTCTCTTAGCAATTTTCAAGAATACATTGTTATTGACAATAGTCACCATGTTGTACACTTCTCCAACTTCTTCGTAACTGAAATTTTATATCCTTTGATATCGCCACTCCGACTGTTCTTTATCTTCTGCTTTCTTGGGAAACTAATCTTGTAGGTATTTTTGGTGCATTTAAAACAAATTTAACATTCTGAGAGGGCTGTGCTTAAATACAGATGAGGGGGTGCTACGGTTCGATTATTTCTCTCTCCAAAACTCACACTGAGATTTAGTTGTCGTTGTGACAGTAGTAAGAGGAGGGACCAGTGAGAGGTGATTAGGCCATGAGGGCTCCACCTTCCTGGGCAGGACTGGTGCCTTCATAAAGGTCAAGTTCAGCCACTTTTCCTACCTTCCTCTTCTCTTCTATAGTGAGATGACCCAGTAAGAAGGGCCTCACCCAGTGCTGCCCCATGATCTTGGGCTTCTCAGCCTCCAAATCTGTTCATTACAAATAACCCAGTTTCTGATATTCTATCACAGCAGCACAAATGGCCTGAGATAAATTGACCAAGTACATAAGAACACTTGGAAAATATAAAATAATTTTCTAGCCCAACCCTTTATTTCATTATTTAAGACAAATTTGACAGGTGACTTATTTTAGGCACTGTGATTGGAGCCTGTTCATCATCTTCCTTTTACCAGCAGGCCTCTGATGCCTCCCTTCCCTCCCGTTTGACTTGAAATGGGGGGGGGGGCTTTACTTGATTTGGCCATTTCTTGCCACCTGATCAGATACTTGGGGGTGTTGGGGAAGATGAGATTTTCCCCCATAGCAGTGTCCACAGTCCTTTTTCACATTAATAAGAGTGGAAAAGCAGTTCTTCTTGGGAAAAGTGGGGAGAGATAGGTAAGTGACACAGCTGTCTGACCTCTGTTCCCTCTGGCCTGCAGATGTGGCAGTAAAGCTTGCACAAACTTTTACTAACCAGTGGCTAGCATTTAACTCTTAGTAGGCAGAAATGTGCCAGGGCACAAGACGCTAAAGCAGGTTGCCAGCTCACAGCATGAAAACAGCAATCAGGGGAGTAGAGTTTTTAAGGGATATCTCCAAACCAGGACCAACAGAAAATAACTGAAGGGGATTAAAAATAGTCGAAGAGCAAAAAGTTTAGAGCCAGCAAGCTAGAAATTTTAGAGGTGAGAAAGTTGAGTCCATAGAGATTCTGTGCTTTTCCGATAGTGTGTGGTTGGTCTTCCGGTCTGCATATTCTGGGTGAAAGGGCTTATCACGGAGTGTGACATTATTAGAATAAAGTTTCCACCAAGTGGCTTCAGTTTCTGGTTTCTTACTCTTATGTATTTCCAGACAACATAAACATGTTTCATGCTGGTTGTTGGAATATGGTTCTTTAATTGCTTAGTAATTAAGTAGTAACTGAATTAGCAATTTCATTTCCTTATAGAGAATTTACTTTGTCCAGTATAAGGAGTCCCTTCTAGTCATCAGCCAGCTGTCTTAGATTAGCCTTCCAAGGTGCGCCCTGGATAAAACTGTCTGCCAGAAAAGTGACCAAATGAAGGAATCTTGTAACACTTCTTGAATTCCTTACTTGTTGATCAAAGCATTTTCATCTTTAGTTTGGCTCCAAACATGTTGTTTCTCAATCTTAGCTTTTACGAGCCATAGGATATTTTATCAGCTTTATTTTAATGAATAAAAGTTATTTTGTAGGCGGTGCCTGTGGCTCAAAGGAGTAGGGTGCCGGCCCCATATACTGGAGGTGGAGGGTTCAAACCCACCCCAGCCAAAAAAAAAAAAAGTTATTTCATATGTATTTTAAAATATGTGGAATGGAATGATTAAATCAAGATAATTAACATGAATTACCTTGCATAATTGCCATTTTGTAATGAGAACACTTAAAATCTCCTCTTAGCAATTATTAGCTAGAGTTGCTGTGTTACACAATAGTTCTCTTGCATTTATCCCCGAGATTTTTGTATTCTTCTACCCTCTGCTTCTGTAAGTTTAAATTTTTAAGAGTCCACATTTGATACGTTTCCTGGGCCTGAGTTATTTTACTGAAGAGCCTTCAAGTTCAGCCATGTCATAAAAACAGGATTTCCTTTCAAGTCTGAGTAGTATCCCCGTGTGTATGTAGATATAACATTTTTTTTTTTTTTTGCAGTTTTGGCTGGGGTGGGGTTTGAACCTGCCACCCCCAGTACATGGGGCTGGTGCCCCACTCCTTGAGCCACAGGTGCCGCCCAATTTTTTCATTTCTTTAGTCTACTAATGGACTAACGGTTGATTCTATATCTTTGGCGAGCAGGCGGGAATGGAGTGCAGGCTGATAGGATCTGCAGTTATGACTCAACATCTGAAGACAGATGTGGCTACCTGTCACATGCACAGACAGCGATGCACTGGATTACAGGACTTGTCCCCAACAATGCCCACCTACCTTCAAGGGATTTAGGGCAACTAGAATTTTAACAAGACCAGGTGTGCAAGACGAGGGAACTGAAGAAATATAAAGTTAGGAATGATGACAAAGAGACACGAGACACAGAATAGAATTTTCTAAGTCGGGAGCTCAGGGGACCACCGCCTGTTTGTGGGCTCTGGAGAGTGGCCCCAAGTCTTTGTTCCTCACAGCTTTTCTTGAAACCTTTGCCCAGGTGGTGAGCTGAGGGAGGGCACAAAGACACCCGCAGTTTCCTTGAGTGAGCTATCCGCTTCAATTGTTATTAAAGTTAAGGATTTGAGCAGTTTTGGAGCATCTGAAACTTGAGCCTTGTGTGGGGGAAGCCTCCTGTCTGGAGTCACAGATCCCTAGGGAGGTGTTAAGCTCTGCTACTTCACTGTGGAGTAAAACACCCCTGGGGTTAATCTCCTCTGAGGAATCCGTGGGAGAGAGGCTTGTTCCTCTCATCACCACCATGGAGGATTTTCCTCTGTGATAAGGGGTGCAAGCCCTTTTCCCTGGATCTCAGGGCTCGAGCTATTCCCTTGGTCTCTGCCCCCACCAAATGCAAATCTCCACAATGGGTATCTGTTTTGTCTAATGAGCAGGAAACTACCTAGAAGGTGTATCTATGCCAGGTCTTGTCATGATTTCTTTTGGGACCATTTACTTCCTAAGTGTTCACAGACTCAGCAGAGTATTGGTGTAAGCTGTATCCCCAATAGGCCAGAGTTTCAGGAGAGGCCAGAAACTTGTTCAGGTAAGAAATTAAGCAATGGCCAGCTTACGGGCAATCTAGCTGACTTTTCTTTGTTCTGACTCCTTCAGCTTTTTAATTTTCACTTTTTCTGGGGGTGCCCTCCCCTGTCAAGAATGGGGTCTTTGATCCCCATTCTCCCTGCATCCAAGAACCAGGTGCTCAGGGCTAAGATATCCTTCATCAAGCTGAACCTGTCCCTGCCACTGGAAACTGGTCTCTGAAGAACTGTTTCTGTACCTTGGAGTTAAGAGCACAAGTTTTGAAGCTCTACTAAGGTTCAAGTTCTAGCTCTACCTTTAATTGGCCTGATAAGTTATTTAATCGGTCCTAGGTTCCAGACATTGGAGATGAATGTTCAGATTGTCGTGAGGCTTGGGTGTTTAAAATATCAAGCATCTAGGATGGTTTTTCCTGTGACAAGCACACAGCATCCCCCTCTGAATAAGGGCAACATTCATGTCCTTGCGGAGCAGTTTAAGGTGGTGTTGTCTTGACCATAAAGACGTTCAAAGTAAAAGGTGTTACAGTTGGCTTTTGGAAGGTCAACCTAGCAGCTACTCCCTGAAGAGGGATTAAGTAGGGAAACTTGAACCAGGATTTGTTTCAGAGCTTCACTGCAAGAAGACTAGAGGGTACCGCAGAGTATGACCAACAGCAGCAGTTACAGAGACCTCATAACTATTACAAGTTCAAGTACCTTGAGTAGAACATTTGCCTTGAGAAGTGATTGGTAGGAAAGACAGGAAGATACAGTCTTAAAGACCATTATATTAGTGTGGTCTGACTCCACGAAGTAGCCTCTGATCAAGCTGCCTCCAGGTGACCAACTCACCAGATACCTTTTACTCATTATTCCACACCTTGGTTTTCAGGTCTAATGCTTGGCCTAGGAATATCAGTATCTGGGAAATGGGTAGAAATGTGGATTTGTTCTAAGCCTCAGCCAAATCAAACTCAGTAGGCCCAGAATTCTATTTATCAGCCTTCCTGTGACCTTGATGCATACTAGCATTCAAGAAACAGTGGTATAAGATTCATGAGCTGCAAAGTCAGACCAGTTCTACCCTAATTAGGTTGCCCTCATCCTGTGGAGGGCTTTTGTTCTATATTCTTGAGCTTTTAAAACCTCTGCTAAGTCAGGTGGTTACTGTATCAATTTTCTTATACTCAGGAGAGATACCAACCCAAGCTTGAAAGGTGAGATGCCAAGAGCAGATAGGCTAATTTTAGAGTGTCTTTTCACATTTCAAAAAAAGAAGCTTGGCACAGGCTAGTAGTGCAGTCTCGGTTTATTGACACATTTGCTCATCTCCGTTTCCTAATAGCCAAGTAGGTTACTAACAAGACTCCGGCGATTAAGGTCCCAGAAAGGCCTGCCACCCACAGAGCTTGTGAATCTTCAGGAATACCTAAAAGATATAGAGAGTAATATATGCTTAAAAAAAAAGTGAGAGACTGGCAAGTCTTCCACTGGAGAGGTTTCATTTGAAGAAAACATTGATTAGTAAGGGCTAGGAAGTAGTAACTTTGGTTTGGCTCGGGAGTTAGGCCTCCTCCTACTCACTTGAATATTTATGGAGCTTTTCAGAAGGGTCCTTAGTGGCTTGAAGTAGAATCATGGGGCCCTTGCTGGAGACACTAGCAGCACCGTTCTGAAGATGGATGTTAGCAATTCTTCCTGTTGGAGAGAAGAGGGCTAGTGATTTGTTGAGTTTTAGTTCACGTGGGGCAGAGGTAGGAGCGATACGGTATGAGTCCAGGTCACTTGCTATGAAAGTTTTTCCATACTTTATGGAGGCCTCACTTTAGTTAGCACAAACTTGAATAAGTCTGTGCTTTGTACCTAACACCTCAGTGTCACAGGGATCTGGGTATAGAGGTCCTGTTAAAACCTATCCCCAATTGCCATCCTTTCCTTGGGAGAGAACTTTGAGAATAGAGACCCTTCCCTATGATAGAGGGGCAACTGGCCAAACAGAACAGCATTTTAATCCTACCTCTATTTGCCAGTTATAGGACCTGGAAAGACTCTATCTAAGGTGGTTTACTTTATTAGGAGTAGGTATAATATACGTGATTGGAGTCAGATGTTAAAGTATTTGATGTTGTGTTTTGTAGACTACCATTTAGTAACTGAGTTTTGTTAGAAAAGACTTCAAGGGTCACAGATCCCAATTCATCCAGGGGCCAGATAGGGAGATGCTGGTGGACCAGGTAGGATACACCCTCCCCCCACCCACACACACCCACCCCTTAGGAGCATCTAAGCAACTAGAGACTGTACTCAGCCCAGGACTGTTCCTTCTGGAGAGCCTTAGCCCATGTTGCCAGATCTTCAAGCAGCTGTAGACATTTATATCTGTAAACTAGCCAGATGTGCTTTATGTAAAAGAGGGACTGATTTGGTTTCCTGGTCTAATCAATTTGGAAAGAGGTTAAAAGTCACCTGAGAATTTATCACTCCTTAGTATGTTCGACATATGCTCGTACCTATTTGTGATAGTGATGTCCTTTAGAGATCGGATCAAGGTATTTTGTTAAACATTCAATATTCTCTATTTGAGGCCATGCATTGTTAGTGATGGTCATCCTACAATACAAGCACTAAAACGTTTTTAAAGACATGGGATTCTGAGAAGCTTGCTACTTCTGTTCTGTATTATAGTATCACTTATAGAAGCTTTATTAGGTGAGTCTTCAGTTGATTTGGCCAGAGGGTAAGAAGGTTAAACACAGGACCCAAAAGTTCATTCAAGTCTGTTGTCTTGTGTAGACAGTGTAGCTACTCACGATCAGCAACAGGGCAGGTCACCCTACAGGATGGCATCGCCGCAGGCTGGCAGACGGACGCACTGCAGTGCAGATACACCTGGGAGTTAACAGAATTTGAGTCATGTCGTAGCACCATCACCTTGTAAGTCTTCAAGCCTGCTTTGTCTCCCGAGCAAGAAGTTCAGAAAGTTAGCAGAAAATCCACATCACAGTAGCCCTAATCACCTAGAATCCAGTTGACAGACCTTATTCATAATTGGTATCAAGGGCTGCCAGCATTAGAGAGGAGTGATAGGACATGGGAACAGTTCTAAGTTGGGAAGTTTCAGAGCTGGGCTGAGGAGAGGAGCAGGGAAGGAAGTGTCCTACCGGTCCCCTGAGAGCTTGCTTTGCCATCGCAGGGTCCACAAAGCTGAAGGTAAAGATGCTGAAGCGCCAGTGGTGGGAGGGAAATGGCAGATTCAAGGCCTTCTGGACAGGAATCAGCTGGGTCTGATAGTTGTCTCCAGTGTAGGGACATCTAAGCCAAGAGACCCAGAGGTCAAGACAGGCTTTTTATAAAAAAAATTTTTAAATTTAATTTTTTTGCAGTTTTTGGTCAAGGCTAGGTTTGAATCTACCACCTCCAGTAGATGGGGCCAGCACCCTACTCCTTTGAGCCACAGGCACTGCCCCATCGAGACAGGCTTCTGAGAGACTCAGGGCAGATAACTGAAAGGACCACTTACCCATTCACCAGCACAGGCCACTGTGGCTGACTCAGGGGGTTTGCGGCAGGTGTGGCCCAACACTGATGTAGGAGCAGCCCTAGGTAAGGGTCTGTTCTGTGAAGGATGGAGACATCCACATAGATGGGGTCCCGGAGCACCTTCACCACTGGGTAGTCACCAGCTGTGTAGTAAGAGCTATAGTTTCCATCTGCAAGAGACCAAAATAAGGACTTGGCATTGTAAGAACAGTCATTTGATGACTTTCTTCCACATAAATGCCTCTGTACTAGTGTCTCATGGCCAAGTCAGGGTCCTTCATGCCCCAGGGAAGACAATTTAGATCACAGGCCAAATGCTCTAGCCAAGGGTATCTTACCTTTGGCAATCTGAAGTTCCAAAGTGAGGGGTCCAAGTTGGATCTCAGCAAGGGGAGGGGGAAGAGTGAAGACCTGGATATTAACTGGGAGAGAACTGCTGCTTACAGAGTAGCTGCAGCTGACTCGGAGCCTGCAGAAAAACAAGACTTTAGCCAGCCAGCTTGGGTGGCTTGGTTACATACCCCTTTCATTTTAACTCTCACGGAGCCAGTAAGTGTTAGGTATCAGATGAATTTGTCAATGTGATAGATGTGGTTCTTGCCTTTGTGCAACTGTGTTATAGTTGGAGAGATAGGAGTGTAAATAAGACCCATGTTTGAGTTGAAGATAAGAACCATGAGAAATATAGACGTGATACTAGAGAAATAGGGATCTAATGTGCAGAGGAGTCAGATGTGATACTATGAGAAATAGTTATCTAATGTTTTCATTCTTCCTATCAAGTCCTCTCCTCAACTGTTGAGGTAGGAGCAACACCTGATACAAAAGCATGGAGCTAAGAAAGAGCTTGAAGACTTGAACATTTGACAGAAGGATTAGTCTGCAGTTAAAGTGTGAGAGGCTGAGAATGTTGGAAGCCTTTAGGCTGGAGAGACGTAGGGACTGTTTCTTGGAGGGCCCCGAAGGTTATGCTCATGTTAGTCCTTCCATAGCTTAAAGTCAACAAGAAACTTAAGTGTGGGATCTGCCGATGTGAGATTTTTTTCCTTTTAGCTGCAGCATGAAGGATGGAGACCAAAATGAGAAACCAAACCCAATTGAGTGGAATAGCAGAAATCCCAGGGAGCTTAGGGCTTCGATTAAGTTAAGGGCACCTGCATTGCTGCCTCTAGGTAGTGGTTACAAGATCAGCAAACTAAGGCAGCAGAAAGGGTTGCCAGTCTTGAGTATTCTGTGGATTCAGGGTTTATCTTGGAACTCCTGCTTTATGACAGAAGGTAAGTCACTCTGACTCAGCAGGGTCAGGCTAGGATTTTACCTCAAGATGCTATCACGGGTGATCGAGCCACGACTCCCATGTTTTACATTCCTGGTTGCCACCAGTTCATTCTCATATACTGCTTGGTCTCTGGTGACCTGCAGGAGGGGGTCAAGAGGAATGCTGGTCATTCCTGCCAGCCTGGTCAGAGACTCAGCTGTCCTCCCCTGTTGCATATTACGTTTTACTGCTCCCCGAGCACAGAGGCAATAGAACATAACCTGGGAAGTTATCACTTGACTCGTGTCAGAACTAAGGAATGGAAGAGGCAGCTGGGTTGTACCAGCAAGGCCAGTAATCATCCCTGAGGGTTTTCAATAAGAGGAACCTGCTCCTTGTTCTCTAAGCTTAAGATGACAGTCCCTTAGTTGATCACAGCTGTGATCTTAGCAAACCCAGAGGAAGTTTCAGCTTTCTCAGTGATGAGAGGCCCTAAAGACTATCCTGACCACACAATAGTGCGGAGCATCCTTCACTAGTGGCTGAGATATTCCACTTCTCCCCCACTAGTCACCAGGGCATTCCCGCTGACTTCTAGAGCCAAGAACAAGCCCAAGGGCAATTAGTCTCACCTGTCTTATAGTACCACAAGAAGTAAAGGGAATCCGGAACAGGACGAAGTTCTGTGTTGTCACCACAGGGTTACATCCACTATCATTCCCAAAGGCCAAGTGCACAGAACCCATGAGCAGCGGGGGCGAGGTCACATTCCGAGACACAGCGATGGAGAAGTGGCCCTCTTGACTGCAGTGCAGGGTCACTGGAACACCAGAATGGCTGTGCTGAAGGCAGGTCATCTCTCTTTTAAGGAGCCAGTCAATCAGGAGTCTTACTTTTGATCCCTTCCCTCTGGTATTGGAAGGGACCCTCGGAAGTTGGTATTGCCAGCTGATGGCCTTGGTGCTAAGCTCAGCTGTCCACAACCTCACCAAGGCTCTGAATGAGCACTTGGCTTTGAGTCCACCACCACTTACACGGCCTCAGACAAGGCATTCACCTCCCTGCTTTAGCTTCTTTATGAGATAGTAATACTAGCTCCTGCCTTGTTTTGCTTACCAGTTAAAATTCTTATCTCAGTGTGACACGGACATGCTCCTTGAGAGTGACTTTGTCATTAGAGAAACTTGGGGCATAACTTGGGACATGTGGAAAGTAGTGATCTTGAGAGAAGGCTCATTAAACAATCTCAGTCCAGCCAAAGTGGCTATCCCTTGGGGAAAGAGTTTCTATTGATCAATAAGTATTTGGCACGTAGACCTAACTTCTTGAGTTCATTTAGTGTTACTGGCTTTACAGTGGATTCTGGGACAATAGAAATTGGAGGGCTGTAGAAAGGTCTATGGCTCAGGGTCCAAGTGTTCTGGGAGATGAATAGATCTGCTTGGTTGGTCACTCAATATTTCCCTTCTGAGCAAACCCTTCTCTCCACCCCCTCTGGCTTTTGTAAGTAATTAGTATCCTTCCTCAGCTGGCTTCTGAGAGTCGGTAACTTACCCATGTTTCCATAGTAGCAGGAATTCGCCTCTTTGGAGCTGTAACAGCAGCCGAGCTCCTCGCAGTCCCCTTGAGAGATGGGTGAGGTTGTGCATGGAAGCCTGTCCACCACTGGGATGGAGTCACACTGGTCAGCACTGGGAGCATCCTGGGCTGGGTGTTGGAGGAAGAATAACTCAGTTAGGTAGTGGAGAGGTTGGTCTCGATCCTTGTTACAAGTCATTAACGTTAGATTCCTATAAGTGGGTAAGTGATTGGAATGGTGTATGTTAAATACTGTAGCTCAAGTCTCAAGGTTAAGGCAGCTCTTAGGAGTACCCTGGTGCTAGTTCATTTTGAAAGGGAATACTCAAGATTGGCAGAAGCACTTGGGCACCTACTTGCTCCACTAAGTAACAGGTCCTTCAAGCTGTGATGCAGATTGAAGTTACCCAGGGCCTTTTTGAAGTGTAAATCTGGTTCAGTGTGTCTAGGGTGAGGTCTGCCATTCCTTGGCCTTGCTGTTCATACAGGTTAGGCAGGTGAGAAACATCATGAATTCAAAGCTGTTCCCACTGAGGTGGGCTCTCAGATCACAAGGCTTTCTGAAATTGAGTGACTGTCCCTCTTCCTGTTGATTCTCGAGTGAAATCACAGCCCCCAGCTGAGGGCTTAGAGACTCGGGTTCTAGACTCAGCAAATAGTTTTTAGAGGGATTTTCCAGGTGCCCTCATTGGTATTGATTCCCTTCCCTGCCCTTCCCGAGGGCGAGGAGTTCCTGGTTTGGGGCTAGTTCCTGCGTGACTCCTAGCTCTGCCCCTCCACTGAGGCGCACATGGACAAGCCCCCTGCCGGGGGCAGCAATAGCGTTCACAGCACTAAGTTACAATTAGGGGAGGTAACTGCAAAGCCCTTCCCACAGTGCCCTAACTTTGAGTAATCTCTTAATTGGTAGTTACCCACGGACTGCTTGTGGAGGTCAGGAGAAAAAGAAAAAATCCTTTCTTCATTAATGTTGGCTGTCACTCTGGAGCCAGCAGGAGGGCACAAAGGCACCTTGCAGGCAGCTCTGCCCCCTCCCCAACCTGAAAGCTTCCAGCTGTTACCTAGAAGATCCACAGGACACTTGAGCAGATGACGCTTTGTAACCATCTCAGGTCCAGCCCCATCTCCTCTTTCCAGTCCAATTGGCATGACATAGTGGGAGTCCTGGGGAGACAGGCCCTGGGCAGTCAGCCTGGGCGGAGGCACGAGTGAGTCTCACCTGGTGTCCCTAACCACTGGCTCCTACTCACCTGCTCAGTGGCATAGCAGCCGCTGTAGGTTGCCTCCAACATCACGGAGCTGCCTGGGCCCTCCCTGACCCAGGTGCCACAGTCAGAGTCGTTCTGGAGCCTGTGCAGTAGTCCTTGGCTGTCTGGAGGGTGGGGAGAGGTAAAAGGCCAAGGGGTCAGTCTCCATGTCACCAGTCCTCGGAAAGGACGGCCAGCCTCACCATTAGACTCTTAGGGGCAGCAGCCGGTAGGAATAAGAGGAAAATCCAGTTCATCTCAGAAATACAGACTGTTCATTCTGCAGTTGGGGTCCATTGAAGGGGCAAAGTGTCAGGGCAGGGAGTTAGAGAGTGGTTTGAGGAAGCAGAGGGGACATAGCATGAGTCTTCAAACTTACCCCAAGCTACGAACACGGGGGGACTCTCTTCCTCCTGGAGGGAAAGGCTTACAGTGAACTGGAAGCTCCGTGGCCCACAGTGGAGCACGCCAGCATCATCTGGGGCCTCAGGTTTATGCTGGCTCAAAGCCAGGGATAAAGAAAGACACAGCAAGACGCCCCGCAGCAGCCACATGGTGCCACCAGGAGCCCAGACTCCCCACCTCCTCTCCAGAGAGTCAGGGGCCTGTGTGGGCCAGGCGATGCCTTTATACACAGGAGGCAGCCTGGGTTTGCAGGTGCGCGTTTTTGTGACAGGCAGGTGGGACGCTTTGGGAAAGGGTAATTCATTCAGCCGCATTTGCTGTGGGGCACAGTCTACAGGTGCATCCGATTAAATGTCACAATCCAGGCAGATTTCAGAGCCCAGGAAAAACGTGGTGCCTTTTAACTGGGAGGAGGGGGGGAGGCTTGCTCAGTAGAACACTTAGCTTATCGCCTTCCGAAGACCTTTCTCCAGAGTTCTGCCTATTGGGGTGAGTCAGCTCTGCTGTCTATGAGATAGAGGACCTGGGGAAATGACTATCTCTCAGAATCTCTGTTTCTCATCAGTAAAATGGGAAAGATACAGGGACAGGGATCTCTCTTGGGGGCCTCCCCGGTATGTTAGTGGGGGGTCCAGCATGAAAATCAAGGGAGATCTTGAGTCCTTTCCAGGGAGGTTCTGGGCACATGGCTAGCCCTGAAATTAAAAGATGGCATCTTAACATAAGTTCTTGAGTTGTTTTTCAGAAACAGATTAAAAATGCAGATAAAAGGGAATGGAAGAGTTAAACTCAGCCTACCATCATTTGCTATAAATGTCCCCAGGGGCCTGTCATACACATCTCTTTAATTATTTTTAGATTAATGTGAGGGTACAGATGATTGTTTGCCTTTGTTAGGTAGAGTCCAAGTTGGTGTGTGTGCCCTGGACCCCTACATCGTGCCTGTTCCGTGACAGCACACCAGACCTCCCCCGTCCTCCCTCCTCCCCACTTCCCTCCTCCTCCCCTCTACCCCCACTCGGAGTTTAATTACATTTTTCTCTTGTGTCACACGCATCTTAACATTCCATCCCAATAATCAAAGAATCTCTGAATCTACCTATGCGCCCCCTTCAGAGTATCCCAGGTTTGGGGCTCAGGCCAATGTATAACCCCCATGTACTGATTTACAATTCTGCCTGTTGAAATGTTCCCCTGCTTTTACCAGTGGCTTCAAACTGGGGAGTTGTATCTTAAGCATCAGCTGCCCATTCTTCTTGCCTGGTGCCCACAGTGAAGATGCCTCTTCCTCCTACTCAGCTCTTGGCTTCCATGTTAAGCTTTGCTGTGCCAGGGTAGCGGATCCCAGTTCCATTCAGTAATGACAATACCATCTCCTGACAGTCGTGTTCTTAAGGGTTAAGTGAGAGATTCTATGCCAAGCGTCTGGCCCAGTGCTTCGCCAAGAGGTAAGTGCTCAGTCAACAGCGCTGGGGGAGAGTCAAGGCCTTCAGGGCCCCTGTGACCTTCTCCACTCATTCTAAGCTTTCATAAGAAGGCACTGTACAGTTGGAGTCTGGCTCGAAATTCCAGAAGGATTTAAACTTGATTCCTGAGAAAAGTTGATTAGAACCTTTCCTTGGTCCCAAGAGGACATCCTCCCACAGCAGCCTTTTGATGAATTCTAAGACTATTTTAGTTGCTTTGATTGTCTTACTGGGCTCTCTTATAGGGTCTAGGCTGAAATGTGCACTGGGACGGGAATTCCCCAAACTAGTTCTACCTCCTCTAGTTATTTTTTTGGTATTTTTTTCTGGTTTGTTGACAACTCTGTGAGTTTTTTTGTTTTGTTTTTGTTTTTTGCAGTATTTGGCCGGGCCTGGGTTTGAACCCTCCACCTCTGGCATATGGAGCTGGTGCCCTACTCCTTTGAGCCACAGGCATCGCCCACCTCTAGTTATTTTTAACTATCATCATTTCCCTATGTTTCAGGCATATTTTTCATAAAGATATTAGAGTTTCTTATTTGCTAATTGTCCACATTTTTTTTCTCCTTAAAAACTACAATTTACTTTCATTTTCTTTAGGTCAGAGCGTCAGGCCAAGTTATAGAGGCACCCCTAAAACAATTAGGGGTAGATGGATACGTTCCTCACAGGGGAGGTGAGAACATGAGAACTGGCTTCTGTGGTCTCCCGCCCATGTCCCTAAGGCACTTTTGATTGTATGAGGCTGATATTTATTATTTGAAAAATTCTCCTGAGTTGACTAAAAATCTTAGCCAAAGCACCCAGGATGTATAATCGGGTAACTCTGATCTATCAGCCAGTAGAAGAGAACCCATAAAGATGTGCCTTCCTCAGGAAACTGGGCCACCTGGTAACCAATGACATTGAGGAAATGCTGGACGCTGCCCAAAGCTGGGACATGACTTCCTAGTATCCTCTCCCTCCTTTAGGTCCCTGCCACTGAGTTGTCGCGTCCTGTCTATTGACTCACAGAATTTGCCACATTGGGCTGAAATCACCTCTTCCTTACTCAGTTTCCCTCTTGAGGGCAGAGACTGAGTTTTCTGTGTCATTGCTTCCTGAGCGCCTGGTGTGTGCACTTAGAGTTCTGAGTAAAGAATGAGTCCATGAATGTGCTTTGTCAGCGCCCATGGCTAACCCTCCCCAGTAAGCAGTGTCCAAATATCACTGGCACAGATTCATTTCTTTTAAGAATGACTCAAAGTTGGCTCAGTGTCTGTAGCTCAGCGGCCAGGGTGCCAGCCATGTACACCAGAGTCGGCAGGTTCGAATCCAGCCCTGGCCTGCCAAACAACAATGACAATCACAACCAAAAAAAAAAAAAGAATGACTCAAAGTCATAGTTCTTTGATATTCCCCCTTCAAGTAAATATCATGTGGTCATATGTACAAGAAAGAATATAAGGATTAGACTTATGGAAGATGTCTTAGGAGTTAAGAGGTCAGTCTTCCAATTGGACTTACTAATGCTGCATTATAACGTAGTGAAACGTCAAGGAGAGTGACATCTTTGGCAAGGTGGCAGTATCAGTAGTACATCTGGAGGCAGTGTAATGTACAGCTTATATGGGTTTTAGCAGTGCATGAACCTGGGTACAAATTCTGACTCAGTCAATTACAAGATCGGTGACCCCTATCAACTTATTGACCTGTCTCTAAGTTACAGTTGTCCCATCTATAAAATGGGAACAATAACACCTACCTCCCACGGGAGTTATTACTACAACTACCAGGTTTTGTTAGATGAAATAATGTGTGTACTAGCACTCACAACAATGCTTCCTGAATTAAATTATAGTTACTTGTTACACCGTCACATGTCACTAATACCAACAAGACTGGCCTGGGAGTTAAAGGGGAGATGGGCAGCGAGAGAAAGTAGGTATCCAGCAAGGTGCTCATTTGATCCATATGGAGTCTGTGGAATAACCTGTATTTGTGGGATCCCATTTCCAACAGAGGTCTTGTATTTACTTTACGAAGCTTAAAAATCGTAAGAGTCTGGGTCTGTGTGGGGATGCCCGGGAGTCCACCCAGGATCACAGCCCTGACTCCCATTCTGCAGAGAGTCAAGGCTGGATCCCAAGATAAGCCCCCAGGGCTGAGACTGGGTGATTTCCTTCTTATTCCCATGCTAAGTCTTTCAAGACTATCATCACTCAATTTCAGGATGAGAAAAAGCATTGACAGTGTGTGATCCACCGGGAGGAACCCCAGGCTTAACAGAGAAGACATCCCACCCACTGTTATTATCTGGAAATGAATGCGCTGCCCTTTGAAATTGGAAGAGCAAATGCTGTTCTCTATATTCTCTTGTATTAGGATGACCCAGTCATTTGAAAAGGATGTTAGTGGAATTACAAACAGAATACGAAGCACCATAAATGCTTCATATTCATATCCGTGCAAAAGCCCCATAATTAGTGTAGGATTCATCTGATTCACATTTCATGAGCAGATTTAAGGATTCTCTTTGTGTCACCTTCCAAACTGCTTGGGAGGCCCTTTCAGACTGCTGAACTGTCCAGTTGCTGATCTGGCCACTCCTGGCCCCTCGGAGAGGGGAGAAAGGGAGCAGCCTGTATTGTTAGGGAGAGGTAAACTGATTTCCAAAATAACCTTGTTCAACCTGGGAATATTCATATTTGAATGTTTTAGTTTATACGGAATGAGGACATACCTACATAAAGTTTCCTAATGTAACCTTTACTGCATTTCTGTAGACTGCTGGTGTTTTGACAGGATAGCAGCACTGCTTTAGGGCTTTCCCGCCATTGGGTACAGACTGGGGCTCTGATATTTATGGGGGTTGCCCTGCTGGGTGACTGAAACAGGGTCCTCCTAACCCAAGGGTGAGGTACTAGCCAAGCAAGGCCCTGGGAAACCCTCCTTGAGTGTGAAAAAACAATAATCAAAATTACCCTTCTAGTAGGAAGGACTGATTAGACCATTGTCATGCTAATCAGTAATTAGGGAGCAGTTGGGTTGGGGGCCTCCAGCTGTTATCCCTGCATGTGGTGGAAATTAGGACTCTTCTCTTCCAAACGAAGATGTCAAACTTAATTTACTGCGAGTACCTGCGGGGTTTTCCTTTTCAACAAGCAAGAATGCAATGTAACCTGGAGTCAGTTGCAAGGTGATGAGTTCTACCTCTGGGTTTGTGGGCTGCTCCCCCCTCTGCCTGTGGCCGCAAACCGTCTCTCAAGTGCTTCCTGCGCTGTTGGTGCAAGGCCTGCTGTCTTCAGATTTTGTCTCATCCCTTCTGGGGGGATGAGACATGTTTCTTTGCTGTCATGACCATCATAAATAGAAAATCTTCCCTTTCACAGGCAGGAGACCCAGCTGAATGTCATGGACTTAAAGAGCAATGCCAATATGTTCAAGGATGATCCTCGAAAAACATGAGGGTTGGGTGCTGACCCCTCTGCAGTCGAATCTCTGCGTTTAACTTCTAAGCCCCCCCCCCCAAACTTGACTACTAATAGTTGATCAGGAAAGCCTTATTGACAATGTAAACAGTGTGCTACCTGTATTCTACTGTGTCTTACAATGAAGGGAGTTGGGAAAAATGGTGAGAAAATCATAGGAGAATAAAATATATTTATTTTTATATTATATTTATTTCAACTACTCGCTAAGCC